CAAGCTTCTTTTCCTCCCAGACATAGTCTTGAGCGCACGACACTTATCGAGATACACACAGGACAGTCTATAGAATACATGTCTGGTTGGAGTATGGATAGCATGGTGTTTAGTGTAGGCACATTTGAAGGATCTGGGATAACAGAGAGACTGCCGACGCACCAGCGCGTGTCAACGCAAGCCTGGCACCATCCACACCGTCATCGACACCCCTCCTAGCATTTACCTTATCCAGCAACTGTCACACCCTCCAGCCCGCTCACGTGCCCGTCAACTCATGCACCAGGAATCAACAGTCATTCCAAACCTGCCCAAAATGGATCAGCCACGTCTGTCCGTCTACAGCGCAGCTGGGGCTAGAGGGGCACAAAGGGGCACCAGCAATCAATGCGTGTGCCAACAACTTACCCAATGTGGCATCTTGCGAACGCCTCCCAAAGTTCCAGTCAAAGAGAGGCGTTGCAGTGATGGACGGTTCTTGTGAAAAGTTGCCTATTGCGGTAGGAAGGCTAGTGTGGTGGTGAGGGCAGTGGATGGTGGTTGGTGGGAGTGGTTGCGCATGTGCGTTGCTGATGGGTGTGCACAGTGAATGGGAGGTGTGACGGGGCGTCTGCGTGGAACTTTGGGGGTGTTTGCGGTCATACCTCGTGTATGACTCAGAGTATCAGACCTGATGGCGGTACATGTAGTGGTTGAGGGAAACATTCAAGTCACGATGAAATCACGTGCCAAAATCATACTTGAACCAAAGCTGATTTGAGGAGTCGTAAGTTATACATTCTAGCAGCTTTTTGTAGCTTCATAAGGAGGTAGCTCGATATTTGAGCGTACGAGTGCAAGTGATAAAGATCTATCGTCTTGATGCAAATCATTAAATCAAACAGCCAAATGCCTGATAGCAGATGGAGCGAGGCGATAAGAAGAAAACAAAACGTAAATCGCTATAAAATCAAAGATCAAAGAGGAGCCATCGCTCACAACTTCTCCGTTAGCTCCTTGGAAACTGGTGTGTGGGTGCCGGTGATGGAAGCGTAACGAGCAGGATCATTGTCATTCTTCTCCGCCTGTGCCCCAGAAGCAGAGTGCGAGGGTCCGTCGAGTTCGCCCGCACCGTTTCCGACAGGCGTCTCCTCCTCCTTCTTGGGCTTGGGCATGCGGACGAGCCAGTAGAGCACCAGAGCCATGATGATATTGAAGACAACATATACCCAGAGGATACTGTACGTGAGTTAGCAATGTTATACAGGCAATGAGTGAGCGTGGACTTGGCTTACCCAAAGTTGCGCCAATAATCAGAATAGCTTGATGAGATATTTGCCAGGAACTTGTTGGTGGTTGCGATGGTGCAAAATCTGCAGTCGTTCGTGGCGTTGGGGTTGGATAGCTTGCCTCCATTGGTAGCGATGTAAGGCGACATATAATCGCCGCAAGTGGTGCCTTGGGGTGGTTCGAAGCGGATAAGCTCATTCTGTGCGCAATTGACAACGTTGTTGGCCAGACCGGACGACAGTAAGCCAGAGACCATGTACGTGAAAGGCGAAACACGGTACATGAAGATCCAGAATTTGGGGAAAGTTCCAGGTTGAGCCAGTACGCCGCAGAAGATGAGGCAAAGCGAAAAGACCAATTGCGCAATGTTACCGCCAGCCTCGGCCGTTTCCATACCAGCGATGACCATGGACGAGAATGTCGAGGTGAAGAGCAGGAACATCAGCACCATCAGGAAGAATTGGAAACCACGGTAGGCGACTTCGTCGGTGGGCTGGGCGTTTTTGTAGAGGCCGATCGGGTAGTACCAGCAGAAGTAGATGACAACAGCCATGAGAGCGTTCCAGGGAATCTCAACGATGATGTTGGAAAGCATAAAAGCCTTCCAAGAGTAGGCCTTACTAGGTCGCTCACGAACTTCGTACAAGGCTCGCTGTGTAACGAAATGAGGCATCATTTGTTGGAGCATTTGACCAAAGATGGTCAACAACATGAATATACCGAACATCTGATTCTGCATGCCCGTTTGCGTGTTGGGCATTTGGAAGAGCGAAAACCCAATATAGGCGGCTGAGACCCCACAAAGGAACAACTTGGAGTAGAGGTACGTCGGAGTTCGCCAATATTGCTGGAAGACACGGACCAATGTCTCTCGCATTTGCACCAAAAAGGGTGCTGCAAACTCTCGGTAGGCGGCTTTGTCGCGTTCCTGGTTAGACACGGTACGCTCCAGAGATTTCGTCTGCCTGAGTGTATTCTTGAGTTCAGCGAGATGACGCTTGACCTCAGCCTTCTCAGGTGAGTCGCGCCATACTTGAGGCCAATCGATTTCTGTGTGCGATCCGGGAGCAGCACCAATGACTTCCAACATCCACTCAGCGGGATTTGCGGAGGGGGGGCAAGGAGGACCTCCATTGCGCACAAAGTAGTCTACTAGAATTTGCGAGTTCTCGCCAACATCTCCGTAGTAGACAGTGCGTCCACCCTTGGCCAGGAAGAGAAGACGGTCGAAGCGCTGGAACAACATGGAGCTAGGCTGATGGATGGTGCAAAGGATAGCTTGGCCATTTTTCTTCAACTTGTCGAGGAGATCTAGAATAGCCCAAGATGTCTGCGAATCGAGTCCAGATGTAGGTTCATCCAAGAAGAGAAGAAGAGCAGGCTTAGCGGCCAACTCAACACCAATGGTAAGACGCTTTCGCTGTTCAACGTTGAGGCCTTCACCAGGTACACCAACAACAGCATCGGCATACTCTTCCATTTCCAAAAGCTTGATAACTTCATCTACGTAATCGAGTTTCTCTTGACGAGGGACGTGTGCTGGTTGGCGGAGTACGGCTGAGAAGATCAGGGCCTCACGAACGGTCGTAGTGCTGAGATGAAGATCTTGTTGTTGGGCGTAACCTAAACAGTCAGTCAGTATATAAAGTTGATGAGACCCACACAATCGTCATGTATTTCGGCCAGCATTTGAACGTGGCGAGAAGCAACGACGAAAGAAAGGAAATTATGGAAACTGGGGAAAGTCATACCTGTCTTGCGCTGGAAAGAACCATCACGGGGCTTGCCATCAACCAACATCTCACCGGTAATGACACCCATGGTCGTCCGCGTAGCCAAGCAATCCAGAAGAGTCGTTTTTCCAGCACCGGATACACCCATAAGCGCAGTCAACGTACCCGGCTTGACCCATCCATCGACATGGTCAAGGATGCGACGATGCTCGTTCTTGATCTTGATATCATAGCATACATTCTCCCATTGGAATATGGCGGTCTGGCGGTCAATGATGGCGATTTCGTCTGAACTGTTCTGTGCAACAACGTTGCGTCCAGCAGGAGCTGCCTCTAGATCATCTTGGGGCTTGCTCTTGGATGCGGAAAGCTTGTGACCACGACGGAACACAAGAACTTCACCCTTGGACTTCTTTGCAGTGATGTATTCAGTACCAGTGAGGTACACAAGCATCAAACCGAACATGAAAACCCAGAGTAGGCCGAAGTTGCGCCACTTGTTCTTTGCGTGGTAGTTGAAGGAAGAGTTGATGTAGGCATCTCCCGAAACATAGGGCTGTCCGGGAACAGATCCAATAGCATTACAAGCGCGCCCAAGACCAGTGATACTCTCGAATCCAGGACCAGAAGGAACAAAGGTGTTGCAGCGGAATTGCCGGCCGGAAAACTCGTTGACCATGAGCGATTCGAAACCATAGGCGACGGGGTTGATCCAGCGCATCCACTTGGACCATCCCAACATGTAGCTGGGAGGTATGGCAAAACCAGTGTACATGACGAGACCCAGCATAAGGATACCGGCAGGCGCCAGGGCTTGTACAAGAGAGCGGGACAAGGCGGCCATGGATCGAAACAGCATGGACATGGTAAGCGTGAGCGTAAATGAGAGTAAGACGAAGAAGAAGAAGTTTCCGGGCTCTCGTCGTAGGTTCGTCATAAAGTACAAGACCATATTGAAGGACAAAGCGTTGCAAATCTTATAAGGCATATCCATCAGCATACTAGCAAAGGCTTCGGCTGACGGGTGGTACAGTGCATAGCGTGAGTGTTTCTCCACGATGGATCGTTGGGCATAGAGTGTCAGGATCTCGAGGGCGGAACCGAAGGCGTTCATCAGGATGGCGAAAAACAGTAGGGCGGATCGGGAGAAGAAACTTATTGTGGTCTCCTGGAGGTTGTAAAAGACGGAAGCGATGATGAGAGCCATGATCATGTTGAATACGAGCTGGATGATAGTAATGCTTGGGTCAGCCTTCAAACGGACGAAGCTTCGCCACAGGCAGAGAGTGATTTGTTGTGCGTATGAAAGGGTATATGGCGACTTCTCGCGCATGCCCTTCGCCTTCTGTAGATTTCGGGACTCCTTGAAGCGCTCAGAGGCCTCGCCACCGATAGGGTACTTTTGCTCATAGGCTGCAATGTCTTGTAGCAGAGCAGCTCGGTCGGCAGACTCCAACCATCGCTTTGCGAACTCATCTGGCGTGCGAGGAACGCGGTCCTCGAAGCCAGGTCGAACGACACGCTCCAAAGCACTAGTCATGGACGTCAAAAAGTCGGCGTCAGTCTGGCGACTGGGGCATTCGAAGCCCATGTTGACAAAGTAGCTCTTAGCCTCGGACGTCTTGCCAAAGTATATCTGACGACCTTCATAGAGCACAAGGACCTTATCGAAGAGATCATAGGCTCCTTGGGGTGCCTGGTAAATTGCGACACAGGCAGTGGTGCCGTTAATTTCCGTTTCCATTCGGAGAGTTTTGCAAAACTCGATGGCGTTTGCAGAGTCCAGACCACGCGTAGAGTTGTCCCATGCTTGTAGTGGTGCTCTGCTAAGAGAGGCTTCGGCAATAGTAACACGCTTACGCTCTCCACCAGAGACACCGCGGATGAAGTCGTTACCCACACGAGTATTGATAGTGTGAGATATTCCGAACAGGGCCATGATGACATCGCGCTGGTGTGCAGCGTACTGCTCCTTGGTGACACCGCCTGGAATGATTCGTGGCCGGCGAGCCAGAGCAGCGAAGTAGAGAGTTTCTCCAACCGTCATGGCCGGGAAATGGACATCGACTTCAGCTGTGTAGATGGCTTCACCACGGTAGTTGTGGTGCATGAGCTCCGGACTGATGCCTGTTCATAGTCAGCAAGATGAGTTGCAACGTAATCGAAGTGACGAATACATACCTTGGTAGTTGATCGCCGAATTTTCATCGATGAAGAAACCATGCGTCTCTCCCGTGATGGTCTTCAAAAAGGTCGAACAACCAGATCCGGGCGGTCCAAGAACGACCAACATCTCGCCAGATTCAACCAGCCCATCGCATTTCTGCAAGATGTCGATCTTGCGGCCTTTGTCACCAGTGAACGACTTGACCATGCCGACTACGTCCAGCCAAATATTGCCAACAGTCTTCTGGTAATCTGTGTCGGTACCGAACCCGTAGACATTCAAGTCATGGAAACAAACACCAGCTGTTCGAGGGGGAGCGGCGTTCTCGTCGTTCATCTGCAGGTTAAGCATGGCCCTGGTCCAGGCACGAGCGTTAAAGTTCTCCCCATGAGGATCTAGAGCCGAATTGAGGGCCGCATTAAACGGATTCTGATTTCCTGAGGATTGCTGACTTTGTGACGTCAACCGTCGTGCGAGTTGGTGGACGGCCTCTTCCCGCCTTGCAATTTCGGCGATCTCGTCGGCTTCAGAGGTATTGTATGACCCATCTTTGCGGTCGTCGAGATGGTGTTCCCTTGGTGTACCTTCCACAGCTGCAATTGTCGATGCACCTGATTCTGTGTCTGTATGATGATCGCTGCCGTTGTGCTGTGGCGTTTTGACTATCTCTGGGGAGGCAAAGTTGCCGGCACTCATATTGGGCGATATATCGCCACTTGATGGCCACCGCTAGTCAATGAAAAGATATAAACACAAGGTACAAATATTAGGTGGTATAACGGGTAAATGGAGAGAACAAGAAAAACAATGCAAGGTAGGGGGAAACAGGTAGATAATGGTAAATGTGCGAGCAGCTAATGAGCACTGCCTGGGCGACGGCAGTAGAGCATTTTGGTCCAGCGGACGGTCGACTCAGCGCTTGGCAGGTGCTACCGGAGACGGATAGGCTGGGTGCCCGGGGCTCGGTGGACCCAAAAGCGGGAAGTGGTGTGCTTCGGATGCGGCGCAGACACCATCCAGAATGTTCCCCCGCCAATCAGACCAGGGGGACTACGAATACCTACATCTCGACTCATTTTGGCCGAATCCAACCACACTCCTACTCATTGTTTGGATACATTCAACTGCCATGGTGGTAGCGGTCGGAGCTACACAAAACGGCCGTACTCCTGATGCGGCTCTGAGGATGCGCGGCGTTGCGACGCGTCGTGACGCATACAATCCTAAACTCATCCCCGACAACCACAATCTTGGGACTTGGGATGTATAGACGAGCTGTGGGATGCTAATATCCGCGCGGGTTCGTCCGACCACTCACCCAGTCCATTCAGTTGGCCAACTAGCTAAAGAGGAACAAAGCATTCGTAGTGTTGACGTCATTCTTGTCTTTCATCAGCTTACATACCGCCATTGCCAGTATCAAACACCTGGTCAGCTGCTACCCACCAAACAGTGCAAAGAACAAATTTCCAGACCCCCTCGAGCGAAGATACCCGACGGACGAAACCTTGGATTTCTGGAGCAGGCAAGGGTGGAATCCTGCCAAGGGCAGATCTTATCCACAAAGCTGCGTGGCGTTTGGCATTCGGCCTGAGTATCCATTTCGGGTTGGCGCTCACGTGGTGGTGGTGGTGGTCTTGGAACTTGTTGGTGTGTGGTGTGTGGTGCACGGCGGATGCTGCTGGTTCCGTTCCGCGACGTTGGCGAGGCTGCTTCAGCCCTAACTATACAGTAGCTCCGGTTCCCATCTCAGAACAACGCTTCCGCAATTTTCAGCCCCTGAGACTGACTTTCTCCGCACTTCACCTCACGTACCTAGGTAGTTAGCGGAGTAGTGGTTGTTGAGCCACAAAAAAGATCAGTGTAAGCAAGTAGCCAGGTAAAGCCTTAAGTTACAGTAAGCCAACGTTGGGGCGGACCTGTGTGTCATCTGTGCCATCCGTGATCCCGGCCCGTATATCGCAAATCTCACATCGTCATCGTGTTGCGTGTACTACCTCAACTCGCACGCGCTGCCGCCCGGATGACTATCTAATTCACCATCTTTCCGCAGAATAATGTGCGTCTTTCACTTCTCGGCTTTGTAATCCTTAGCACTAACGCTGCGGAGATACTGTTCGGAATAGTGGAGTGAAGAAAACACCCGTGATCCGATCGGAGTCGGCCATTTCGGCACTTCTTCGTATTTACCTACGTACTGTACTTATGTACCGTCCTGGGCGATAATGACCTGGTCTTCATGAGGAAGATTCACACACATGAATTGGGTAAAGGTTCTCAGTCACTTACTCTTCGAATCAGCATCTTACCTCCGGAAAATGAGCTGTGTTTATGGAGCAACACATGGAAGATATCACAGTATTCACCTCTTGTCAAGAGTGCCTATAAGGCTACCGTTGCCTAAAAGTCGTCCGACCATCCATTCTTAACTCCTTTAAAGCCATAACCTACGGCTACCGGGAGTCCCAAGGCCGCTGGAACGGAACACGGCCGTCCACTGGACCACGCTTAACAAACAAGCTTCAAACGGAAGCTTATGACGCGAGTTCAGCAAGCAGGAAGAGTGACAAATTAACATTTCAAGTCTCAAGTGAAAGGTTGATATGGTAATACAGATGGTCCTACGTCGTGAATGCATGAATCTTGGATGCAAGAGAGAGAAGAAAGAAACCATGCACTTAAATGCGCAGGAATTCTGTGATAAATACCGTTGCCGCCTCAGCTCCGCAATGCCCCTTTGTCCATGTATGCTGTACAGAAGAGAAAGATCAACAAGAATCTAGAAATGCCGAAGGAAGACAAAAATAGCTCAAAGCCCCCGGAGCAGAACTGACGAAATCGAACATGCCGGGAAGTAAAGGAAGGCGTGTTAGAAGGTGATAGGCCTGTCAGGTTAAGGTACATATCTCCGTCGTCAGTAGTCCGACAACCATGCATGTCTGGAAGCCGAATAGCCTAATAAGAGTCGCCGAAGAACTGGCTAGCGACGATGATATCCCGATCGCCATTGGCAAAATCCCAGCCGACAATCGTGGGATCCTGGCTGCAGCAAATGATCCTACGCGCATCAAACTGTAGTTTGAAAACCCGAGAATTAGTTCCGTTCGTATTCACAGGAGGTGCGAGTGGATGCGGCGGATGGTGGTGATGGTGATGATGATGGTGGTGTGGGGCGGCATTGGTCGCAGCCGCGGGTGCTGGAGCTTGTTGTGCAGCAGCACCGTGAGTGACGGGAGGAGCAATCGTGGGATGAACGGCTGCGTTGTTCCCTGCTGCGTTTGTAGGAACACCGTTGATTGTCGTGCCGTGCGTTGTTTGTGAGGCAACGTGAAGGGCGTGGGCTTGCTGTGCTAGATTCTGAGCGGCTTGGGCCTGGGCTTGGGCCTGTTGCGCCAACGCCTGGAAGTGATTCTGTTGCGCAGGACCTTGAGCAGTTGCCTGTTGGTTGTTTTGGACGCCAGCCGGGTTTGCATTGGCTGCAGCTTGTACAACAGGCCTCCTAGGTCGTCCACCAGCAGCTCGGACCGCGTCGTTCTGTAATAGTGTTTGAGACTTCTCCCAAGATCCGTCGGGTCCCCTTTTCCAGATGATGACTGTCTCATCATAAGACCCAGAAACGATGCGCGCCCACTTGGTGCCTCCACCACCAGGTGGTAGCTTAGCTCCATAGGCGAAGACTTTGGATGGGTCACGGGAGCCAGCGTTACGAGCGCGCCGCTCCGCCCTGCTTAGACCTTGGGTGGATACCAGGCCTTTTGCTTGCGCTTCAAAGTAGTCTCGATCAACAGCACGTGCTTCAGCTTCAAGCTCTTCCTCATTACCAGGGAGATCACCAAACTGGGCTTGTACAGTGCGCACAAGATTACTATGCCCATTCAAACAAGCGACTTCTGCCCCCGTAGCTCGGTCGAATATGCGTACACTTTCGTCTGAACTTCCACTGACGATGCGGCGTCCATCGAATTGGACACAAGCAATACCTTTGGTGTGACCTGAAAATGTCCGAGTACATGCGCCTGTTCGAACGTCCCAGCATTTGACGCTCCTATCCCCCGATGCTGACACGATCTGTCCATCGAGAATTTGAATTGCATTCACAGCGGCACCGTGGCCCTCCAAGGTCATTATAAGGCTGTATGGAAGAAGTGGCTTGAAGTGCAGGTGTTGGCTCTCAACATGTTCTTGCATGTTGATTATGTAGGAAGGGAATCGGGCACCCGACTTCATGGTCGAAGATGGGTAGGTGTCGTCTGTCGGCATCATCTCTTTGCGATTCCATACTTTGATAGTCTTGTCTTTTGAGCAGGTAACCAGATAGCGATCGTCAAACCTCAGATTCAGAACAGACTCGGAATGTGCTTTCTCAATCTCCTTGATGATGCGTCCCGTTTTGAAATTCCAGAGAATGACTCTGCAATCACTACCACCAGAGACAACAATGTTTTGCTCAGGGCGCTCATCAAATTGCAAGCACAAGACGGAAGCCGAGTGGCCAACGAGCGGCTTGTGAACTAAGCGGAGAGTGTCGAGATCCCAGACCCGGATGGTCTTGTCGCGGCTGCCACTGACCAGGTACTTCCCCGAGTACTGTATAGTATACACGCACTCGGTATGAGCCTCTTCAGGGTGATTTGGGTGTGGAAGTTGGAAATTTGTGTAGCGTCCGGTGCTCCAGTTGTCTTCTAATCGTCTCTTTTGCTTGTAAAGGTATTGCCAGTTGATCTTAGCGTCTGGTCCGGGGAGCAAAAGCGAGGGGTGTATTGGAGGACCACTTGCTTCGCCTGATGTGGTCGTGAACGATGTCTCGTCAGGCAGGCTGGGGACACCCGGCCTTCTTTCACGACGCCCGATCTCGGTAGGTGAGGCTAGGGGCGATGCACCGTGGAAGGAGATACCCTCCATCTTATCCTCCGACTTGACGGAAGGGCTGTCAGCCTCGACTGCGCCATGTTGCTCATCCCAGGCACTTCCTGATGAGCTATTGATGGAGAGCGGCTCTAATGTGCTGTCTATGCTGTTCTCTAGTGCTTGTCCGTCACCGAATAGCGGTCGTTCCCGCACGCGCTTCTTGTGGGATGGCTTGCCGTAATCGGTGTCTTCGGATGCTCTATGCCGCGTCTTGCGCTCCTTCTCTCTAAATTCAGCGCGCTTCTGCCGCTGGGCCTCTTCATATGCGCGAACTTGGGGAAAGTTGGAGTTCCAGCCTTCTAGCCTGAAGAGCAGCTTCCACAGGGGGCTGTCGAGTACCCGCTCCCTCCACGATCGAGACAGGGTCGATGCGCGTAACAATGTTTCGGGATCGAGATACGAGAGTATCTGGAAAGTGATTTCGGGTGGAAGGTGTATGACGGGATCGAGATGCAGGAGTGGATTCAGCTTTTGGACGATGCCGGCGATTGATGATGTCCGTAGGGAGCGCAGAATGGCATACGCGAATTCTGTATCACCATGTTAGCGCAAGCTCCACTCTCTGGACACACACAAGGCGCACACTTACCACTTCGCTCATTCTCGCTCAGAGCCAGGACCCAGTCCGGAAGGGTAAAGGGCGCGTCAGGCTCCGTCTCGCCGTCGCTCAGCCGTGCGTCGCCGCGCATAATGGTGTCGTTCTCAGTCTGGCTCCTCGTTTCCTCGGAATATCCTTCGTCGAACCGGTTTGCGCTCATTGAAGAGGCGGGACGGAAAGGGTGTTGGTGGTATGGCGGAGTGGAAAATTGGGTGTCGGGCATGCCGGGAGGACCTGCCATGATGGTGCTCGCAACCCTGGGTCAGGGTTGGGTTAAGTGGAGACAGTTGTGGGATGCAACAAGTGTCTGTTGCGGCACGAGGTGTTGTTATACTATCTAATCATGTGGTGGTAGGGTGTTTGGTGTTTCGGCGTAGTGCTGCCTGGCCGAGTGGATAAGAATCAGCACACCAGGGGGGGTGCGGGACGACGGTTGGTGGGGCGCTGCGGCGCGGCGATGGTGATGGTGATGGAAGCGGGATGTCACAACGGGATGGGTCCTTTTGGAGTTGGCCTTTCTTTAGCATAGTAGGCTGCACATGTCGATGAGTGTAGTTGCTTCCCGCAGCACGTGCACCCGCGCGCCTTCACACCACGATCTGCCGCTAGCCGCATTGGCGCGACTACTGATGGTGCGGCGAAGTCACTCGGGTCTGAGACGCAGCCCTGGAGCCCGCTTGCGTCTAACGGTTCCATGTGGCACTAGAAGGAATCCTCCAACCTTCGGTGCAGATGGGACTACAGTATACGTCCAAGCAACCACACCATTCGGACATTTCACTGCGCGTGGCCGTGTTTGATGGCAGACACAACCCCACTTGTCAATGTCTCGGGTACGGAAGTACAAGCTAGGATTCGGGTGCTTTTCCGAGCATAGGCGCGCATGGCTTTTGGAGAATGGCATTCTGCAACGCCTCCATTGTGCGTAGCAGAGGCGCTACATGCGTGCAGACTCGTACAAAGCGACGTGCTCCCTTTGTGAAAAATGGGCAAATGTCATGTGAAAAGCGGCGGCTAACTGTTCACCGCCGGTGTCCCCCTGAAAGTGCTCGTGGGCTCAGCTTAGTCTACTACGGGCCCGCAAGGCTGGGGGGGAACGGGTCTGTGACGGGCAGGCAGGCGGTCGATCGCGGCCCAAGGCAGCGAGCATTCAAGCCGACGATCGTCAGTCGTGCCAACGGGCTGGCGATAGCGGGAGTGACTCAGTGAAATGTACAGGCAGTGTATGATAGACGCCCACGCGAAGCATTCAATGATTGCTAAACACGGGCAGTCATGGAATTGGCAAGTGTGTGTGAGATAGATAGCGAGCCGCCCCAAGTCAGCTGTCATATATCACAGACTGGCGGTTCAAGAGGGACTTGCTCTCGAGGAAAGGAGTGGACCGACGAGGCGCCGGCTGGGTGTGTGGGGTGCTGTTGTTACCCAAGCAGTCACACGCTGCGGCTCTGCAAGACGTGTCGCTGGCTGGAGCCCAACGTTTTGATTTGAACGACAGGCAGACAGCAGGCCGCGTTTGCATCAGGTCGAGAAATTCAATTTGAGCGGGACAGCAGCATGTGGACGGTCGAGTTAATAGAGGAGCAGTGCAGTCACGTGCCGGGTCTGCAACGCCGCACACCTGGGCATGCGCCGGATGAAACACATGGCTCTCTCCCCTTTCTATACGTGCGTCCGCCCACTTGCAGTTCAATCACCTTCTGCAGCTCTGCTACAATAATCTCCCGCCGCCTGTCATCAGTCCCTGTGCACGGCGGGCGCTGTTTTGCATGCGCTGTCCACTGTCGGCTGTCGTCGCCGCACGTCCATCTCTCGCCGCCCTGTGAGGTTAGCAGGTCACGACCCTGACCGCCTAGAGCGTTAGCGCGAGCGCAAGGAGATCCATGAAAGCAGCATGGAGGGCGGACTATCGTTTCACTCGGGTCTGGTGAGAGCCCATACCACCTATACCGTCTCCCAACACCCTCCGCCGTCGCCCTCGAAGCAAACCGCACACGCCCGGATGACCTCGACCGGGCCGCCTGCCCTCATGTCGCACCAGAGCTTCCAGAGCACCTACTCGAGCTACTCGCACAGCAGCGCGCGCGACACCCAGAGTACCCAGGCCACCAGCAACTCGACCCTCTTCCAGCAACCCCCCAACGCCTTTGGAGCCGCCACCCCCGTCAACAATGGCGGTCCCGTTGAAGCCTCGGACAATGTCCTCAACAAGCGGGCCGACAAGGACACCTCACTGTTCCAGCGCTGCCTGACGCTGCAGATGCGCCTGCGCTTTATCCCCGGCTTCGACCGTTGGATGGCCGAGGAGGAGGGCAAGGCCGACGATGATGCAGACCCCGTGACGCTGTTATGGAGGACCTTCCGGAGGGGCTACCCGCTGATGGAGCTGTACAATGCCCTGGGCCCTCCCGTGCTGCTCAGCATCCCCAGCTCCAAGCAGGACGAGAAAAGCCTGAAGAAGAATGAAAAGATGGCCTGCTACAAGTTTATCCAGAGCTGTGTCTCGGAACTTGGCATACCCCAGGAGAGCTGTTTCATTCTCGGCGACCTCTACGGTGACGATACGACTGGTTTTGTAAAGGTGAGTTCGATATACTTTAATAGTCTTGACATTTTGACCCCTCGACCGTATCCGTACTAAGCAATTCCAGGTCACCAATGTTGTCAACCGTGTACTTGACGAGCTTGTCGCCCAGGGCAAGATCGCTGGCGTCACAGAGGAACTCGAAAATGTCGGCGGTGTCGTCACTAAGCGCACACAGCGCGAGCACATCATCGACGAACTTGTCAAGACTGAGCGCACCTACGTCCAACATCTGGAGCTCCTCCAGGAATTCAAGAAGCTGGTAGAAGAAAAGGGTATCATCAGCGGAGACCTCATCCACGACATCTTCCTCAACCTCAACGCCCTCCTCGACTTCCAGCGCCGCTTCCTCATCCGTGTCGAGCAAACAAACGCACAACCTCCAGAAGAACAAAACTGGGGCAACCTTTTTGTCCTCTACAAAGATGCATTCAAGGTTTACGAGCCATATATTGCGAACCAGAAAAAGTGCGAGCAGACGGCAATGCGCGAATTTGACAAGCTCAAGGAGACTGGCGGGCCCAACGAGATGCGTCAAATGGTTGAATCGCCCACCCTGCTTGCCTCCTTTTTGCTTAAGCCGTTCCAACGTCTCACTAAATACCCTCTCCTACTTCAAGTACGACCAACCCATGTCTTCACTTAATCTACCAGCATCACTTTACTAACACTCTGGCAGCAACTCCGAGACAAAGGCGACCTGGACGAAGGGCGACGAGAAGACATTTCAAAGGGTATCGAGGCAGCCTCCTCTGTACTCGCCGGTACCAATGACGCCATCGCCCGAGAGGAGCGGGTGGAAGCTGTCGAGGAACTCAAGACACTCGTCGAGGACTGGAAGGGCCACAGGATAGAAGGCTTCGGTGATCTTCTTCTACATGGCCAGTACACCGTCCTCAAAGGCGAGAGCATGAGTTCCAAGAATGAGGAGCGAGAGGTAATTCGCAAGAAACGACCCACCACGTACATCCTGCTAACTATACTTTCAGTACAAAATCTATCTCTTTGAGATGATCCTCCTCTGCTGCAAAGAAATCAACGTCAACAAACCAAAGAATAAAATGTCCACACGATCACTAGTCACCAAAGACGGAAAGCCGAAGCTGCAACTCAAAGGCCGCATTTTCATGCAAAACGTCACAGAGACTATTTCGCTCCAGAAGCCAGGTAAGATTGTTGCATGTTGATTCGAGCGTCACTGACAAGTCTAGGGTCATATACATGCCAAATTTTCTGGAAAGGCGACCCTGGAATCGAAAACTTCATCATCAAATTTACCTCCGAAGAGACAATGAAGAAATGGGCTATGCAGGTTGATACCCAACGCCGCGTATGGAAGGACCAAGCGCGGACTAGTGCCAGCACCACGGCCTCAAAGCCCTCGGACACTCAATTCGCATACATGCGTGACCAGGTCCTTGAGAACCCCTACCAAGAAGACGACGATGATGATGTCGATGAGGATATTGACCCCGTCACTGGATACCCACGCGAGAACTTTGGCATAAGGCAAAACACTGGCACCCCCTCCCTACGATCACGGTCGACAACCGGCGAGAGCGGTCCCCCAATGGGTGAAGCGCCACCTTCGCGCTTCCCCATGGGCTACAACGGTCAGCCCGCACTAACTCTACGCACCCAACAGATACAGAATGCAGCCAACCAGGAGTCTTACTTTTCTCCGACAGCTGAAACACCGATGCAAACCCCAATGTCAACCAACT